TCTAATTTTTAGTAGAGACGGGGTCTCGCTCTTGCTCAGAGCTGGTTTCGAACTCCTGAGCTCAAACAATCTGCCCGCCTTGGCCTCCCAGAGAGCTAGGATTACAGGCGTGAACCACTGCACCCGGCCTTAAACTGACTTTTATGGTATGAAATTAAAAGACTATTTTTAACAAGAAAAATTATCCCCAGTTATTTTGTTTTTTAAATTTTTGAAAGGGGATATAAAGCATCAAATTCAGTTACTTAACAGATTTCCTAAAGAAAATTTTAAAATCTTAAAAACAGAGGACCAAGCACTGCAAAAGGTGTTTAAAGGTCTAAAAAAAAAATAAGGTAAGAACAAAACAGCTGTTTTTGAATACAATGAACAAAACTTACAAAACATGAGATGGCAGGAAGAAAAGTAGATAAAACTCTTAGAAAATACCATTTCAGCAGAAATACAATTTGAAATAATCATTTAACAGAAGTAACAATCTTAAATTATCAGGCAAAAAACCTTCAGAAGCACAAGAAAATATGGTGTTTTGTCCAAAGAAAGGCAAAATTAATACTATCAATTTTGTCCAACAGCAAAGGGGAAAAGTTATTCAGATGAGACCCTGAGCCAAACACGAGAGGTCTGCACATTAATTTTTAGGAATAGTACAATATTTCTATTTCAAAATAGTATCTCTTTATAGACACAAAAGGACATAAAGATTTACTATAAAGAATATTTCCTCCTACCTTGTAATAAAAAATAAGTCATATATAATTAAACATTTGCTTCAAGTCAGACACTATCAGTACAAAATTCTGTGCCTGTATTATATGGCACTCACATAATTTTTGACTTGTAATTAATTATATTCAATGCTAAGTAAAGATTCTCATTTCAACTAAAATTCAAAATTTAAACAAGTACATCCTTTATCAAAATTAATTTTTCACACCAGCGCTACCAAAAGGGAGTCTCAAATCATTTGAAGCTGGAATTTTAAGTATAACTTAGAATTTTAAATGAAGTTATTTTTCTCTTGAAAATTTTCAATTTATATTTCATGAGAAATATGAAAATGACTCAAATATTAGTCATTCAAATAAAATCAATTGTGAATATTCAATTTAGTATTTCAAGATAACATAGTTTGACAAAACAATTTTATTAGTATCTTCATTATAAGAGCAAATTAAAAAGGAAGCATTCTATTATTTTGAAATATACAACTATTAACGCACAGTTATTTAAAAATAAACGTTTCTCACTTCGGTGCTGGGTTCGAAATCAGGGTGTGTGAAGGGTCCAGATCGCTCGAGGAACTTCTTTACATGGTTCCAGCGACCTTCCCAGTCTCCAGTGTCCCCACACCCACCATCAACAGCCATTCTGCACAGAACACAGTAAATTCAGCTGCAAAGATCAGTATGAAAAAGCCACACCTAGAACTATCATGGTTTTCCCAAATGAAAAGGTAACCACATCAGACCTGCTCAAATAAAAAGGGAAATACTCAATGTGGTTATATGCTTATGCTTTCAAATTTTTTCTTGTCTGTTATATGATTAATTAAAAGTTAAGAACTGAACATGTTTCTATTTTCATTTCATCCATTTGATGAAATAAATCAGTCTACATGTTTCTGGCTTCCTAAAGAAATCCAACATCAACCTTGGGACACTGGTATATGGGTGAGAAATGGACTTCTCTACAATTAGTATTTACATAAGATTACTGCAAACTTCCCCCATGTGTTCCTTCAACACACTTGCATCAGGAAATAACAGATACAGGGAGGAAAAAAAAGCCGCACTCTAAGAATTGCGATACTTCAAATTTAATACTACTTTACTTATGTGTCCTTTCCAAGTTTGAAAGGTGTGATTTAAAGATCATTTTTGGTGAGAGGAACTTTCACACACTTTTCTCAGAAAGAAATACAGGTCACAATTTTCAAAAAAGAATCTCTTAATACTGTGAGATGGTTTTTGTTGCCACTAGACACACAAAAAATTTTAGGTTACAATTATGCCAGACAGGCATTACTACCTAGAAATCTTTTAGAACAAACAACTGAATAAGGCAGGACTCCTCCACAAAATGCATGTATTTTCCACTTGGTGCAAATATATTAGTAACATCCAATTTTTACAAAAGGGACCAAGTAGTATTGTCTAGCAACAAAGACCAAAGGTTCTGAAGTCAGAGTTGGGTTTGGTTCCACAATTAATAGCATTGCGACCTTGAGTAGATTACTTAACAGCCACAAATCTCATCTGTAGGTTGTTCATAGCTACTTCTTAAGGTCATGAGAGTAAAGAGATAATCCACACGGAGGACTTAGTTACAGTACTTGGCATATAGTAAGCATTCGAACTTTAACTGTCATTTTATGCAAAAGTGAAAGGGAAATAAAAGGCGGGAAGGAAAGTGAAACTAAACTTGTCTTCCCGTCCTCTTGCTGTTGAAATCCAACTTTCTGAGGGAGCTACCTAAAAGCCAAAGCAGTGCTACTGGGAATTGACATAAAAATTACGAACTCACCACGCCCACTGCAAGAGTATTTTTTTTTATCCTCCCACGCAGGGAGGGGGCAGAGGAAATTATGTGGCGTTGGCCAGGTTATAAAACACTGTTTAAATCTGTCTCATCAGCACAAAACTAAGCATCTGATAAGAAACAGGGTGTGTAGTAAATGGGGAAAGTAAACTGGAGTCAACATCCTCCTTTAAGAGCCGATTATTTTGCAGAAATGATTGAAGTGCTTAGTACAATACCTGACATATAGAGCTCTCATTAAAAGTTTGCAATTAGTACCACTGTCTCGGTGTTTACGAAACGCCCCCCCCAAAAAGGCCATATGTCCGTTTCGTGTGTGTTTAAGGTGTATTCCCTTTTCACAAGGTCACCGCTGTGACAATTTGGGATGGAGGAAGAGGGGGGCGCAAAGGTCCTTCCGCAAGACCTTTACATCAGGCACCCTGGCGGGCCCCTGAAAGACCTGGAGCAGTGCAGCCCGGCCACGAAGCCTGCACGGGGCAGAGACCAGGAGCGAACTGCCGGGCCCCCATGGCTGCGGGACGGGGGTCAGGGGATGGGGCCGCGCGGCCTGCGCTCCGGGTGCCCCCCTCCCAGCCCCCCGGGCCCGCTGCGGCTGGTCCCCTAGGCCTGGGGTGGGGGGAGGCGGGGGTCCCTGGAGAGGGCCCCGGCCTCCCGGCAGCACTAACTTCTCAGCCAGCAGCTCCTCTATTCTCCTTCTTTTCTTCTCCCTAAAAGAAAGAGAGAATAAAAGAAGGGTCAGCATCACGCTACACACTGGGCGCCGCGAGGGGATGGGGGGCGAGGGGACGGGGCGGGGGGTGGGGTATCCCGGGTGGCGGCGGCAACCGCCCACCGCCGCGCTCTCTCACAACCCAGCCCAGCCCGGCGCGCCTGCAGGGCCCCGGTACTTACGGCTCCTCGCCATCCGCCATATTGTTCCCCGCCTCTTCCCAGGTTGCCTCACGGCGGGCGGGGCAAGCGTGGGGGGCGGGGCCGGTGGAGAGGGGAGGGGCGGAGCGGTCCGGGGAAGGGAGGGGAGGGGCGTACTGCGCGGCTTCTCCTTTGGGCTTTTTAAAGCCTTTTCTCCCCTGTAATTAGAATCTTGATTAGCTACACCTAATGAGACAAATCTTATACCGCGTATTATGTTTTTACGCAGGGTGAAAATGTAGACTTAATACATTGTGTGTTCATACAATTTATATGTTAATAAATAATTCCATGAAATGCTGGTATATTCTAAGAAAAACCTCCGGGAAGAACCACCCCAATATGCCAGAGCTTTTCTCTGGGGCAAATAAATCATCAGGAGAATTTTCACTTTCTACTTTTCAGAACGGTTCCAAAATCTTTGCCTTGGTAGGTACGCACTTTAAGAATAGATTTATCTAAATCAGTTCATAGGGGTTGAGTGGAGAAATTATGATTTTCTTTGTGAAAATCAACACTGATGTTTTAATGTCACATCATTCTGTCAGGTAAATTCAGTGGAAATGGAATTAAATTGAAAACCTTTTCTTCTGATTTAAATGTATATATTTAGATACAAGAAAAGTATAAAGAAAAAAATTACAAAAATTGAAGAATAATTTAGAACACATAAAGATAAATCGTGGTAAAATTTTCTGCCATTTTCTTCCAGAGTCAGAAATACGTATATACATGTGAGTCTGGATGGCTGGATAGAGAAAAATAATCATGTTCAAAAATATATATGTTGAGGAGTGGGGGAAAAGGCAACATACGTAACCTAAACATCTGTACCCCCATAATATGCTGAAATAAAAATATATATATATATGTATATACACACACACATCAGCTTTCATGGAGTGGGACAAGAGTGAGATTTGAAGGATTCAGAAGAAACTGCACTTAAATCCTTACTCCCCAGTCACTATGAGACCTTGGGCGGAAGGACCTCTGTTCCTTCTTTTGTAAAGTAGAGATAATGATATTCACCTTGTAAGACTGAGAATTAAATAAAATCCACAGTACTTCTCAAAATATAGTCCCTGATCAGCATCACTTGGGAATTTATTACAAAATCCACGTTTTGAGGCTCACCCTCAACCTTCTGCGAAGCCTGGAGTGATGCTCTGCAGGTGAAGTTTGAGAACCGCTGAAATGGAATCCGTAAAGCCCCAGTAAATGAAAAGTACTCAGTAAATGTAGCCACTGTTACTAAATTGTTATATTTAATCTCCTCTTTGTTCTCTTCTCCATTGAACCTTAAGAAAGTCTTGGCTTTTATGATCCCCCAATTAGGATCAATTCAATACCGTTCATTGAGCTGAAAGTCAGTACCAGGCAGTGAGTGGGGGAACAGAGTTCACATTCCATGGCAAGAGACATCAGTGCCTTTCTGGGTCACATGTCTCAACATCAACTCAGAAATCTCTTTTTCTTGCCTAGACAACTGCGCAGAAACCACCCAAGTTAAATCCTTGCTTATCAAAATGAGCTTCTGTGGACTAGGCCCCCAACAATGCTGCTTTGAGGATAGCCTTTAATTAGTGGCAGTGAACGTCATAGCCTCCTCAGATGGTGAAAACCAGCAGGCACCTTAGGGATCACCTAGTCCAGTCCCTCCCATTTCACAGTGGAGGGAACTGAGACCAGGGGATAGGATACAGCTAGCCCACGAAGAAGCCTGCACAGGCATCTGGCCCTGCGTCTGCATGCTTTGGTATTTTAATAGATGACACCAGGCACTCTCACTGGCTTAGACTGATGGGAAATAGCCACCTGCCCTTGCCGATAATGAAAGCAACAGAGACATGCAAGCAAAACCTTCAACAGATTTATTGTCTTTCAAATGGAACATATCATCTGCTATGATTTTTAAACAGAGAAATATTCAAAATGATGCTATCTAAAAGCACAAGTTCCAGCATAAAAGCCCCAAGAAGACCTCTACAATGAATCCAACACCACCTTCCTCCCCAACGAAGAGTGACAAATAGCTGCTACTAATAACATTTAAAACAGTTACTAGAATAGAGTAACAACTCAATATGTGTTCATTTTTATTTAAAATGATTTTCTGACCAAGGTAGAAATGTGTAGAGAAAAAAAACCTCCCATAATCCAAAGAGAAAGAAGCATAGCTAACATTTTGGCAGACAGAGAGAAGAGGATTATACCATAGACAGCTTTTTCTGAGTTTTAAAAATTTCTTTCTTTATTTTTTAAACCTCTTTGGAGTTTTAAACAAATAAAAATACATTGAACAAATGTTTACTGGGTATCAATTGCCTATGATCAATGAGTAATCGTATTGTTACTAATACACTCTTGACAAGTTTTGGTCATGCAGTTCTGAGAAGTTGGAAGGTGAAAGCTCTTGGTCACAGGGTCTAGTGCGCACAGATCTCTTAACAGGTGCGGAGCCCTGCTGAGACTTCCGTCCTCCTCTTGAGATATCTACTCAGCTTGCCCACAGTACTGTTTCATGAAATTCTTAAGCCCCAGGAATTCCTCCACACCCTCTGACTTCCTGTAACTGAGCCTAGAGGCCCAGTGCATCTCTTTTTAGCACTCCTTTCATTGTCTCATATTTATGTAGTGTTTCCACTGCATTGCAGGGTTCTTGAAGCCAAGGCAGGGCCGCACCTTTCTCGTCCCCTGCCCCTTACTCCTGTTTTTTTTTTTTCTTTTGTTTTTCTTTTTTTATCTTTCACAGTGCTTTCACAGAGCCTTTAAAGAACTCAAAATATCTTTGGCATTGTATTAAATATTCTCAACCTTTTTTCCCCTATCATATCTACCCAGGTACAACCAAAACAATAAAACGAAGGCAAGTTAAAATCAGTAGATGTTTATTATAAAAGCAGAGAAAACAAAACAGATTAAAGCACTATTAATGCCATACAGACGAATCGTGGGCTATATTATTATTAATAACAGCAATAGTAATACCTAACCATGAACACTTATTATACAGTAAGCACTTCCTATACATTACTTCATTTATCTTCATTTATGTGGCAGATGTTCTATTATTCTCACTTTACACATGAAGAAACCGAGGCTGGGGTGGATTAAGTAATTTCTCCAAAGTCACTGTCAAGGTTTCTGC